GATTATCGTCAGCTGTTCAGGGCTGGACGCGCTATTCCTTGGCCGGCGTTGCCACTACTATTCTTAATCTTATTTGAAAGCTTAATTCTACTTATGGATTATATTTGTTGTTGCGACGTGGGTCGTCGCAAAGTGGAGCAGCGAAACCGAGGAGGGGTTGCGCCAAGAAATGTATCTAAAATAAAAATAAATTGTTAAAAAAAAACCAAACTTTCGCACAGAGCCAGCCAGCAAAAGGAAATATAAACAAGCTGGCCCAGGACATTGAATGTCCTCTGCAGAATACAGTTATTAAAATTTTTACCACCACGAAGGCGCTCCCTCGCCAAGGCCCTGATGATGATGATGGCATTCGTCAGTCCGGCTTATTGATAGGCACAACATTCCGGCTCTGGCTGGAAACCGGAGCCCTCGACGACCTGACGAGCAATTGCCTCCCAATTGGCCAAGATGGCCCCTTCCTTGACCTTTCGGCTGACTTAAATCCACTTTACGCTCTCGGCCAGACATTAATTGGTGGCAACAGCCCAGGGCCATTCCCAGTCCCAGTCCCAATCCCCCGGAAAACTGCCGCTCAAATATTATTTGTTTAGGCAAGCAATTAAAAGTGGATGGCCACAATATGAGTTGCTGAAGAGCCCGACGGCAATGATTGTTAAAATGTTGGCAAATTGGATTTCTGCCAGCCAGCGGCGGACGAGGAATTCGGTGAAGCTTCCGACCAGGTCAGTTGGTCACTTGGTGGAGCACTCCCCCCGCTCTCCGCTCCGCACCCTGATAATGGTTCTCTCGTCCGGCAAAATAGGCGTAAAATGAAACTTTTAAGTACTTTATGGCCAACACTATAAAAAAAAAAATAACAACAAGTAAAGGCAACAACAGCCAACCAACCAAACACATCTGCCATGTGGCGCTGCTACCAACTTTTCCCGCCCACGCCTGAAACTAAAAACAAAAATCCAGGACGAGAGGCGGCAGCAGCAGCAGCAGCTGAGATATATACGTTGTGGCCATGGCAAACTTTCCCTAAAAACAGAAACGATGAAGCAACTTTTGGTCATATTCTAAATATCACACCGGTTGTAAAATGATTATAAAACATAATGGTGGAGCTGTTCCAGCCAGGGGCAGGGGTTCAGGCTCAAGTAACTGAGGAAAAGCTGTTTGCAGAGCCTTGGGAGGAGATAATCATACGCATCAGGGAGGATGAGGTGGTTGAAGAATTCGTAGAGAGTACTTATTAGTTGCATAATCTAAGGAAAGTATAATTCACTTAATATACGATTAAATAGTGATTTATAAAAGACTTTTCCTGGGCTAGCATACATATATCTGAATGATATATACAAATTCACTTATTTTATAATCCTCCCTCGCACAGCTCGCTTAATGTAGGTCCAGCCATGCAAGTATAAAGTTATTTTCAGAAAAAACCTGCAAAAAACTATAAAATTTCGATGAAATGTCATTATCATTTCTGGAAAGGACCGCCCGGCGGCATCTCTGCTATATAGTGGTCCGAAAGAATGCTACTTTTTCCTGGGAACGCCTTTGTGTATGTGTGTCGGTGTGAAAAACAGCACTGACATTTCATGCACGTGCGTGCGAAAAGGTGAAAGGGATGGGAAAAATGCTTTGCATAGTTCTAGGCGCGTGCCGAGATCAAAGAAGGTCTCCGCTGACAATAAAATGACAGAGCAATAACGGAGGACAACGGCACAGCAGTGGCAGTGGCAGCTACAAACAAAAGCGTGACGCAGGCGTCAGCCGTTGACAATTGAAGGTTTTGCCTGGCACTCGTATTTCGGCGAAAAGGGTCCACGGGGCGTATGCGCAATGCGAGAGCAGTCAAAGCATTCGAAGCATTCGATTGACAAGGGGAAAGGTCAGGCATCAAAAGCAATAAAAATCGCCTCCCAACAGCAGCAGCGACAGCCATAAAGTAAATTCTAGGCATAATCATAAAGATTTTTTCATAAATTGTTAACAAAGTTGTATTGCGCGTAACTTGAAATAAAGAAACAAAAGTTTAGGAATTTATAGTATAAAAGAATTAATAGGACCTAAAGGATATAAAATAATATATTCCTGTAAAAACTAGAGTTACTTTTTGTAAGGAAATAATTGCAATTCCTCATTCCTATATCGAAAATCCTCAAATCACTGTTTATGGTCCAGTTCAACTGCCATAAAACTAATTCCCTTCATCGATTTGCAATGCAAAACATTTATATACCATTTCACCAGTTTCAAATTGCCCCGGCAAGAGTATTTAAACTTTTGTTGTCCCCTGGAAAAAGCGGGAAATATACTACATATGTACATATGTATGTATGGATTGAAATGTATTTCAAAATGGCAATTTACGCACTGTTAGGGACAGTTCAAAAAAAGATTCAGCTGCAGGCCAGGCGCACAGCGTGTCCCTTTCTCGGTTGAAAATATTTGTCAGGGCCAACGGGGTGGTGATCCGGGGGAAGGAAATGGGAAGGATGTGGGACAGTGGAACGGATCGGAAGGATGGACTCAACCCAACCCCCTGGGCACATTGATGCGCATACATATCTCTTACTGATTGCCGATTTGATTACGTCAGTGGTCCGGGCCCGAGTCCGAGTCCCCTGGCGTATCGAAGTCCTGGCTGTGTGGACAAAATTATGCCAAGTATTTGCTTATTAGTTTTTTTTTTTTTCTTCGCCTACACACCCAAATAAATTGATATTTGCTATTAGAAAAAGGTTTGGCCTGAAAGTGCAAAAATGCGAAAAACTTTGACAATGTCTTTGGCTAAGGGGATATGTCTTCGATATATACAATATAAATATATATATATCTATTGGGTCTGGGGCAGTCATTGAGCGCTTCAGCATTTACAGATCGAGTGCCGAGGACATTTGACGTTTGTATTGAGTTGTGCGATGGCTTCTGGGAGGGCCACTCACAGCTTATGGCAAATGGGTGTTGGCTTGCCGGAAAAAAGGGAGAACTTTTTTGTTTGAAAACAGTTTATCGGGTAAAGCATCGGACGTGGGATATTTTATAAAGTTTGGCACTTCATAAAATTTGTCAGTTTGTGGGAGAGAAAGATAGAAATGTAACCACAATGGTTTTGAAGAATTTTTAATAACAAACAAAATATACAGAAATCTAAGAGAAGGAAATTGTAATAAAATAGCATGTGATATAATATAAACCCTGACTAAAATCTCTACCTAAGTCTCTACAAAAATCCTTTTATCGACTCATAATTTTCCATTAATGTTGCCTACGAATATCGCACCTTATCGCCGATAGGTTCCTTAATTGTACCGGGAAAATGTCAACTCACTGCCAACTCAGAGCTTTTCCCTAGCTTAAATGCACCTACTTTGGTGGCAGTTCAATTGGAACCTGGGCAATAGCACCAGCAGCATCTTGATAAACACCGAGTTCGAGGAAAAGCCAGGACCGACGAAATGGGCGCCCTGCCAGAGTCAGATCCTAAAAATGCCGCCCAATAAGCGGCTCAACGTGAAATAATCTTACGGCAGTAAGTACTTCCAAAGCACTCACCCATCGCCACCCCGGAAAAGCTGCTACTGCTCGGGAAACTGCTGCACAGAGAAAAAAAAATAAATACAGCCAGATGATTTGATTCCAGGCCTTGTTTTCCCTTTGACCGAGACTTTACGACTTATATTCCAGGTTTATATGCTTTTATAGGTACCAAGTTCTCTCAGTGTCCCTCTGCTGCTGGCTGCCGTTATTCCCAGGACGCAAATTATGCATTAAGCTGTAGAAAAATGCCGCATAATGTTATCAGGGAAGACGACAACGCGGCTGAGTGTGGATTGTTGGCAGAGGCAAGGTGAGTCCCCTTTCCATCTCCATGCCCCTGCCAGTTGGCCGCAATCAAAATGTGTAAATTAGCACTGGCAGGCAACAAATCCTCATCGCCGCCATGATGTCCAGGCAATATCCTGACGTTACAAGGATCTTGATCACGGCAGACGGCAGGCGGCAATTGCAATTTCCACTTTAATCTCCGCTGCACGGCCGCAGCTTATAATTTCGTTTATAATTACGCACAAGCCAAGTCTGCAGTTCCAGTTGCTGTTGCAATTGCATTCCGTTGCCAGACCGACAGGACTGCAGGCCAAAAAGGACGACATAACTGCAGGACTACAGGACTGTAGTCCGGCAATGTTGACAACGCTGCACGAAAAACCTGGCGGCAACACTTTCCCTAATTAGCACAAAACTCGGCGGAAGTGAACCGAGCCGAGGGGACCGTCGACCCGAGCTGATCTGAATTGAAGTGAACAGCTGAACTTAGCCCACTGAGCTGTTGAATTTTCACGGCAATGTGGCAGCCGGCATTTGGAATTTCGAATTTGGCCAGCGGCGAGTCCGAAGCCAAAGGCAAACGTTTGCAGTTTAGGCCAATCAATTATGCACGACCTGGGACCACAAATGGCATAAGACATGGCCAGAGAGTCTGCAGCCAAGGGAAAACGGATTTTCCATATTTTCAAAGTAATTTAATTTTATGGAATTATTACACTGAGTATTATAGTTACATTTGGTTTGTTGCTACCAATGAAAAGTTAACAAGGACCTTGCAGCTAATCAAATTATCATGACAATTGGGAGAAATGCTGGGTGGCCTTTTGTAATTAAATTCATATCCATTTATTTTGCTTTTATTTTAATTTAATAATTAATTGATCAGGTTTTTTATGTGGCAAATTTTATTGTCAAATTTTAATTGGTAAAATTGTATCGAACAAAAGATTAGACTTATTTAGAATGATTTACAATACAATTTTCAATTGAGAAATTAAGACAGTTGTCCAAGGGAAAGTTCGTTTAATTTAGCTTTTATATTAGGGGTGGAGAACAATCGATGGCACTATCGACATTATCGATGGTTCAATATTTACTATCGCCCAATATCGATGGCAGCCACTATCGATAGTTCTCCACCTCTATTTTATATATTCCACCTACCGAGATTTACCCATGACTTACCTGTCTAGAATTACTCACTCAAAACGTTCCAGTCTTTAAGTTAAATTTATTTTGTTCTCCTAAATCCGAAAACTTTAAAATTTATGAAAATATAAATATGACATCGAAAGTATCGCGTGACATGCTCTACAACGCTCTTAAGAACATCTTGCAGGATACTCAGGATCATGACCGCGACTGCCTTGATGTCGTGGAACTGCAGATTGGACTCAATAACTACGATATTAACAAGGATAAGCGATTTTATGGAAGTGTTCTTTTGAACCACATCGCAGTGCCTCAACTGAACGTTTGCATTTTCGGGGATCAGCAGCATTGCGATGAGGCCAAGACCTTAGGCATTCAATGCCTCGATGTGGAGGACCTCAAGATGATTAGCAAGAACCCAAAGTTAGTAAAGAAAATAGCCAGAAATTACGATGCCTTCTTGGCCTCTGAGTCGCTGATCAAACAGATTCCCATCTCATTGGGTTCAGGACTGACCCACGCAGGAAAATATCTCATTCCGCTGTCCCACAAGGAGTCGATGAGGGCCAAAATCACAATACTGGCCACCAAAAAGACTCAAGTGAAGAATATTGAATGCCTCTCCGTCAATGTTGGGCACATTGGCATGCTAGTAGAGGATCTAATTCAAAATCTAAACATTTCAATCAACTTTCTGGTCTCTCTGCTGAAGGAGAACTGGCAGAACGTGCGCTCACTTTATGTAAAATCATCTATGGGTCTGCCCCAGAGAATCTATTAAAGAAATTTAAATGTATGGAGTGGTTAAAATTAAGAAATACCAAAGTGAAATAAAATTATTGTAAATTTAAATATTTTACTCTTTTAATTTCAATGAAAGGCATAATTTTAAATAGACCCCCTCTTAATTTGAATCAGTCTTCTCTTTCATTTTCTTCTCATCCTCTGAAAGTATTCAACAAAATCCTTAGTAAGCTGTGACATAATTTCTCTTGCCCTACGCCTCCCCAAAATTGCCCTTGATGCCCCTCTTAGTTTGGCTTACGGGGCGTATGAGCAATCCCCTTGTTAGCTCAACGATACATTATAAATTTCTCAAGTTTTTTTCGGATAGATGCGATGGTAGGGAAGCGGAATTGGCCTAAGCCAAGCCAAAGGAGATAAGACAAGTTCACGGCACATGCTGAGCAGGCTAATCAGGATGGCATTTTTATTGGGGATCCCAGCAAAGGGGCAACAAATGTGCTGCGCTTGACTTATCCTCAATAATTATGGTTGTTTGGTTGCTGCGTCGATAAGAATGTTGAAATAATTACGGCCCAAGCGAAAACTTTGGGCCGGATGAGTAAACCGCCGCCAGAAAGGCGCCTCTCAAGAATTGAAAAGAGTATCTATGGGGGTTAGAGTTTTTCTTCTCCTTCCTTATTATTTTTAATATTTTTTTCTTAGCGTGTAATGAAAGATACGAGTGGAAAAACGCCTTAGCTTGAGTCAAAGTTACTAATGTCTTATTCAAATTGAATATGAGCGGCTGCGACAGAGTTGGAACCCATGGAAAACATATCGGGAAACTCAATTACGAATTCATTTCGCTTGTCAACTCTGACAGCCAGACAGAGAAAGTCAAAGTCGAAGAAACGGAGACACAGGATGAGGCACAGATATGAGAATGGCAAACTCTCTGTTGCTAATTTCAGCTTGTAAACATATTTTAACAAAGTTGTCAACAACGTGTGATACTCGTACGCACACAGACACACACAACCAGTTCAGATGAAGGCCCAACAATTCCATCTGGCCAAGTGATATATGTCTTTCATATAGGAATACCATAAACAATGTCATTTGACATGCAAATTTATTTATGAAAATAACAGACGAACGGAGCAAAATACAGAAACAAAAAAAAAAAAGCAAAACAAAGACCAGAAATCACAGGACACACAGACACCCACCAGTTTGCTGGGAAATGAGCTGCTGAGCTAAGGAAAAACCAGCGTTGAGGCAAAGGGAAAATTCAGCGAGCGGCAAAAGGCAAAAGGCGAACGGCACAAGCTGAGAAAAAACCAAAATGGAAGCGGCAAGAAAAAGAAATTCAAGCGTAAAGGGAAAGTAACTTAAGCAGCGGCAAACTGAGCAAATAAAATGGGGTATCTATAAGACGGGAAGGTCGTTCGTTCGGTGGGCGGAGAGATGCGTGGAAAGGCGGATGGCGTTGAACCCGGACAACAGAGTGAAAGTTACGCCACTCGCACACACACACACATTCTGAAAAATTCAACAGAATGTGGTGGCATGCCAGATAATTTTTGTGTATCGCTTGCCATCGCTTTATCTTGTTCACTGTTCCTCTTTTGCAAGTGGGTTTGTATTCTTGGTAAGAAAAATTGCCCATATTTAAGATATGACAAAATTGGACATAATACTATCAGAAAATAATAAATTAAATATTAAATCTTCTTTCATTTGAAGCTAAGCTATCTTAATTATCAGGAAGAACTTGAAGTAATACTTGTAATAACAATTTATAAATAAAAATCCTGTAAAATATTCCTCGTTCGATTTTAAGTCGTCTAAATATAGCTTCATTTTCTAGAATAGAATCATTTAATCGACAAAGAAGCCCTTTGGGAATTGCCATGTTCTCATATAGAGATCCTTCCGTTGATTTGTGTGCACAAGAAAATATAAACATCAAACTGTTGTTCCTCCAAGAGCATCTCATCTTCGCCTATTTCCCCAACAGATTTCCCGCCCCTCTCTACAACTTTTTCTCTTTGTTTTTGTGTTGGGCGATGACAAACAGGGATGAGAGTGGGTCTTTGGGGGTCTATGGGTCAGGGTCTCCAACTCTCCAGTTGACCCAACTCCGATATCTTTATGCTGGATGCAGACAGCCCGGCAAAGCAATATGTGTACGCCCAATATTTTGATAAGTGTAAGCAAAAATAAACAAGCCGTGAAGAGCACAGGACCTTTAGGAGAAAAAAAAAATCCAGAAAGAAAAACCAAAAGTTGTGCAATCGTGAGGCGAAAACAAATGGAAAGTCGAGCTGAAGTAAATAGGGAAAACTGATTTCCTTCCGCCCCTTTTTCCGAGCTCACTTTGGGGATTCTAGGGACACATTGACCATTGTTGGGGAAAGTTTGCATCCAGCAAATAGTCTTTTTTTTGTTTATGTGTGCGAGTGAAAGTCCCTAGGTGCAGAATATGGCTTTTTGAGTGAACTACTTTACTGCGAGCTAACCAACTTTATGGGAACAGTGAGGCTGAACTTAAAAATATGTAGTAATATTTTCTAGAATTATTTTCCTCCTTTCACAGAGCTCCACAATTAATATTCCATGTCCGAATTATGTGGCCTGCTTAAGAGGCTGCAATTTAAGTCCCATTCTTACCCGAATTACGCGTATCCTTCGTTCACTTCATGGTTGACAAACAAAATCTAATTAGACGCTTGCCCTATTTGTTATTGTCCGCAACGCGTAATATTATTATGCCAAACGGCACTGCTCTTGCTAAGGCCAATAGCCACAGTAAATTTATTTAAGACTCCAGCGAAATGACCCCAATATTTGCACAGTGGCAGTAACAGGGGGTTAAGTTTGTGCTCCAAATTATGACTGCTTCGCATGTGTACAGCCCAATTAAATACATCACGTGATTTTGATATTAAACCGAGCAGCCTTGAATGCAAATTGCAATGAAATCAAAAAGCATTTCGATTCAATTAGCACAGGTAAATTCAAACAGAATAATCACCTTCACACATCATTAGTAGGTATGCTAAAATGTAAAAATTAAATTCAAAAATATTCTTAAAATTAAAAGAAGTTGTCAGAAAGGGTTGAATTTCAGCTACCCTATTTTGCCACCAGACATTTGCCACCCTTTATATTTGCATAGAAATAACACAAAATGTAAAAAACCAATGACAATGGGATGTCTCGAATGATGATTGCAACTCCCCTGCTTTTCAGGTTCAAATCTCCCTCTACAGCACAGCTCCCTTCTTGAAGACAAACCCCAAGCCAAAGGATTTTGTGGCTCAAGAGCCTTAGACCAGAGACTTGTTGATAGGGGTTGACCAAGGCTACCGGCTCCTCTCGTCATTCCCCACCAGACAACCCAAATCGATTCCGATTTAAATGTATATTTTCAACAGATAAGCCAGCAATGTTTCCTTGCACAGAGACCATATTATATATAATGCACTTAAATGTGCGAAAATATATATATATTTGTGAATCTGATCGATGAGCGTCAATAAGGGGAATGTGTACAAGCGATTTCACTTTTGTTGAATTGAGAAATGAGCCAATTGCGTAGCCAAAAACTCATAAAAATAGTTTTGCGAATGGAAAAACTAGATGTTCACGTATTAGAGAGAAACAAAAAAACAATACATGGCAAGAAAAATAGTAGTAGTAGTAATAGTTAAACTATAAATTATGTTTAAACTATAAATGATGTTCGATTTAAAATACAAACTGTCTAAACTCTCTAAACCATTATGAACCATGTCAAGGAATAAAATAGATAATAAAATATATTTTAAATTATAAGTTAACAACATTATTTAAACACACGAACTGAGCTTTGTAAAACCAATAAAACCAGCATAAACCATTATATTCCTTAATGGTAGCAAATTATAGAAGCTCTATTAAATCGAAATAAATCAACGCTTTAAGTACTAAACTCCCCCCCTGCTTTAATGCATTTCCTTTCCAAATCTGTACATTATATTTTATTATTTCTAAATGGACTTTCCCAGTGTAGCTGGTCTACAAATTGCGTGGCATAAATTGCGGTGCCATTGTTTGAAGTGGCTGCAGAGTCAAACTCCGGCGGAGAGTGGACCCGTGGCCGCCACCACTGTGATGGTGAAATTCATGAGCCGCAAATTGTAGTTCCGTATAGTCGGTCCTGCCCCCCAGTAAATGGACATAGCCGTCCAAACATTGGCTCTTTGAATATTTAGCATTATGTCGCATGAACTCATAAATGTTTCACCACCTCCATCCGTCCGGACCATCATCATTGTCGCTGGCTGGAATATATAGCCATGACTGCTGCCGGTGACAATGATGGAATACTGTTTGATGTTTGATTGGTTTGCCATTCCGATGGCGACATTGATATGAGTTTCATTCGGTGAATAGCCATGACGAGGGGGCGGAATATAAATGACAAATATAAATAGAAGCCGAACTGTGCTTGCATTTTTGGGTTTGGTCACATAAGTAGTTAATGATTGAATGACATATTCCGGGAATTATGGGTTGTGTTGACTATGAAAATAGAGCCAAAAGTTGTTTATGGAATATATTTTCGTAAATGTTGGTTAATTATTTAAGTAGTTAAAGAAGAGACCAGGTTCAGAAGTCATATTCACACAATTTATATTTAATATTCTCTATTTTATAGAAGTATTAATGTACCTATTATTATCTCTTAATCTATGTTAAGCCGTATTTCGTTGTTTGTTAACTTTAAATAAATTTTAATTACCTTACTAGAGATAAATTATAATGTCTGACCGTAGTTTTCAGCAAGTATTGATTTTTTTTCAGAAGCTTAAAGTGCCTTTCGACTGAACATTCATAATGATTAGGAGTTTATGAACTGCTGGCGGGGACCCACACAGCCTCCCTGGCGGATCCTCGAACTATTTCACGCTAAATCCAAAGTTAAACCGAAATGCACATAAATCACTGGCCAAAACTTTTGTTTTCAGTTATCACTAGACGCCCAGACACTAGCTGGTGGTGAGGGTGAGAGTGAGGGTGGGT